ACTGCTGACCTTGGGGAGAAAATAAATAAATAAAATGTTTTTAAAAAGTAATTCACTTGACATGTAAAAGGTGTGGTGATGCTTCTGCTGTCTCCCACAAGTCAGCACTAGGTGTCTAGGTGGCCAATCTTCAGGTCCCAGCACTGTCATATAGGGTGGGGTAAGAGGAACATGACTTCCAGAAAGTAGAAATCTGTATGGGAATTCTGGCAGGGTTAAGGCGGGCGTCTTGGGATTTCTGCTACACCTTCAGGCTGTTGAGTGCTACTGTGCCAAGTTTGAATACAGAAGGCATCCTCCTAGATTGGATGAAGTCAAAGTCATCCTTCTGATTGGTATGGAGACAGAGCACATCTTCCTTGGTGGTGTTTGTACAGAGGAGGTCCTCCTGGGTCGGAAGAAGACAGAGGATATCCTCCTGGGTGGGATGAAGACAGAGGACATCCTCCTGGGTGGTAAGAAGACAGCGGATATCCTCCTGGGTGGGATGAAGACAGAGGACATCCTCCTGGGTGGTAAGAAGACAGCGGATATCCTCCTGGGTGGGATGAAGACAGAGGACATCCTCCTGGGTGGTAAGAAGACAGCGGATATCCTCCTGGGTGGGATGAAGACAGAGGACATCCTCCTGGGTGGTAAGAAGACAGCGGATATCCTCCTGGGTGGGATGAAGACAGAGGACATCCTCCTGGGTGGTAAGAAGACAGCGGATATCCTCCTGGGTGGGATGAAGACAGAGGACATCCTCCTGGGTGGTAAGAAGACAGCGGATATCCTCCTGGGTGGGATGAAGACAGAGGACATCCTCCTGGGTGGTAAGAAGACAGCGGATATCCTCCTGGGTGGGATGAAGACAGAGGACATCCTCCTGGGTGGTAAGAAGACAGCGGATATCCTCCTGGGTGGGATGAAGACAGAGGACATCCTCCTGGGTGGTAAGAAGACAGCGGATATCCTCCTGGGTGGGATGAAGACAGAGGACATCCTCCTGGGTGGTAAGAAGACAGCGGATATCCTCCTGGGTGGGATGAAGACAGAGGACATCCTCCTGGGTGGTAAGAAGACAGCGGATATCCTCCTGGGTGGGATGAAGACAGAGGACATCCTCCTGGGTGGTAAGAAGACAGCGGATATCCTCCTGGGTGGGATGAAGACAGAGGACATCCTCCTGGGTGGTAAGAAGACAGCGGATATCCTCCTGGGTGGGATGAAGACAGAGGACATCCTCCTGGGTGGTAAGAAGACAGCGGATATCCTCCTGGGTGGGATGAAGACAGAGGACATCCTCCTGGGTGGTAAGAAGACAGCGGATATCCTCCTGGGTGGGATGAAGACAGAGGACATCCTCCTGGGTGGTAAGAAGACAGCGGATATCCTCCTGGGTGGGATGAAGACAGAGGACATCCTCCTGGGTGGTAAGAAGACAGCGGATATCCTCCTGGGTGGGATGAAGACAGAGGACATCCTCCTGGGTGGTAAGAAGACAGCGGATATCCTCCTGGGTGGGATGAAGACAGAGGACATCCTCCTGGGTGGTAAGAAGACAGCGGATATCCTCCTGGGTGGGATGAAGACAGAGGATATCCTCCTGGGTGGGACAAAACTTAAAAAAATCTTCATGGATGGGATGAAGTTCAAATATGCTGTAAAATGTATTTTTAATAGAACTGGAATTTGGCTTTTAGGGTTCTAGTTTATGGGTAAAACATTATAAACTATCAATGTTTATCTGCAAATCCAATTTTGAAAATATTTTTTTCTGAATTTCCTGGAGCCCAATTCTACTGCTGTAGAACTACAAGTCTATGTATAGCTGATCCTCACCAGTGACTGTCCCCTCTCTTTCCAGATGGGGTCACCATTCAGAGTACTGAGCGAGTCCTCATCTCCTCCACACTGAAGAACTATCATCTTCTTACCATCCTGGTGGTCAACTTTCAGGATTTAGGTATCTATGCTTGTGTGGCCACCAACCCCCTGGGCAGTGCCTCAACCTGCTGCATTTTAAAGAGAGTTGGTAAGTCATAGTCACATTGGTGCTCACGCAGGTGGAAAAGCTCATGAGTGTAACACATGTACACAGGATATGGAAATAAATGTGCTTATTAATAAGGAAACGTCTCTGTCGTCAGAAATCCCATGCTGCCCCACCAGCCCAGATGTTGCTCAGGTGTACAAGGACGGAGCTCTGATTGTATGGAAACCTGTGGAATCCAACACACCAGTCACCTACTTCCTCCAGTACAGAAAAGCGAGTGAGTGTTTTCCTTCTCTTTTCTTTCCTTCTTCTCCTCTCCTCTTATCCCCCCCCCCCCCCTTTCCTCTCCTTCTCTTTCTTCTTCACATTCTCCTCCTTAATTTCCTTCTCCTCCTCCTTCTCCTTCTCCCTCTTCTTCTCCTCCTCCTTCTCCTCTTCTCCTCCTCCTTCTCCTCCTACTCTTTCTTCTCCTCCTCCTTCTCCTCCTCCTCCTTCTCTTTCTTCTCCTCCTCCTTCTCCCTCCCCTCTCTTCTCCTCTCTATTATTGTCTTTTCATCTACTCTTCATCTCCTTGTCCTCTTCCCTATCTTATCTCCCCTTCTCCACCCCTCCTCTCTCCATCTCCTTCTCCCTCCCCTCAGTCTCTTTCTAACTCTCACTCCCTCTTCTCTCTCTCCTTTCCATCTCCCTCCCCTCTCCTCTTCATCTCCTTCTCTTCTTCTTCTGCTCTTTCCCCTCCCTTACCTTTCCTCCCCATCTCCCTTCCCTCTCTGTCTCTCTACTCGCTATCACCATCTCCTCCCTGTCTCTCTCATTTCCCTCTCCTCGTTCCCTCTACTATTCCCTTTTTCCACTCTTCTCCTTTCCTCTCCCTCCCTCACCCTTCCTTTTTTCTTTCCTGATTTCCTGTTGGTCACTTTCACAGATGAGGAATGGCGCGCCCTGACGCTGGACATTTCGGACTGCTGCTACTCCTGCCATAACTTGTCCGAGGGTCACCTGTACTCCTTCCGCATTGCATGCATCAGTAAGGCTGGGATGGGTCCATACAGTAACCCCTCCCCCAGTGTGAGGATTGGCTGTCCAGGTCCTGGTGAGTTTTGCCATGAATGGTGACTGGTGCCCTTCCATGGAATCCTGCCAGGTTCTCCTTCCCTTCTGAGTCACTTCCAGGTTCTTTAACCCTATCTCACCTTCCTTCACAGTTCCTTCTACCCTCCTCCGCTTTTTCTTTTTTAATCTTAAAGCTTGACCATTGAAATAATTTTGACGTGACCATTGAAAATTGTTTCTAGGCCAATGAAGGGGACCGGTCTCTTCTATCACATTACATTGCACTCTTCTGTGGTTCACATGCAATCACAATCTAATAACGTTCATCTTCCTTCCGACCATCACTCACATTTCTTCCTTCTCTCCTTTTTTTAACCTGTCTTGCCCCCTTCCCTTCTCCACATCCACCCAACTCTTCATTAGCTCTTGGTTCTGGGACCCTGGTGTAGTCATTTTCAGGGGAGCTTTTAGTCTTAACGCTCCCCTACCTAAACCTCTAACTCCTAAAGAGGACTTGCTATGGGCCTGCCATTGCATACCTCCTTCCGAGAATACTGCCGCCTGGCTGTTATCCCAATTCCAGGGCTTCAATACTTTCCAAAATCCAAACCCAGAACAAGAAAAAAAGTCAGCAGTCCTTGTTATATTTCTACTGGGACAGTGTTTCAGAATTCTGAAACAAGAGGACCAGTATGACAGTCAGGTAGCCGGTATTTTCAGAAGCCGAGATCAGCAATGGGCGCCTCCATGCTTCCTTTCCCTGAAATAAGGCCAGTGATGGGGGTGTCGGGCTGTTTTCTAAGTTAACGCTTAACCCCAACAACTAGCCTAACAACCAAAATGGCAATTTAACACTCACCTGTCCACCAGAACTAAAGTGAATGTCAAGCCAAAAACTTTTTAAAACATTTTTTGGATGAAGGGGGGAAGCATTAGATTCCTTGACAGGTTTTTCACCTCTATCCGAGGCTCCATTAGGGTGATTTACCCTCGCTTCCTGCTAGTGGCAGTGGTTTCAACAGACAGGAAGTGAGGGTAAAACTGCAAAGGGGACACCGGCATCAATACAAATCTAACAGGGGTTCTATCCCTACTGCACATCTAATACTAGAAAAAAGCTTTTGACTTGAGAGGGGTTCTAACCCTTCCATAATTTAAGAAATAATAATTATTTTGTTTCACTCTCCACTTTTGTTGTTGCAGCAAGTTTGTCAGAACTGAGAGAGGCAGGAGGACTAGGCGAGACCCCAGAGGGGGACCAGAGCAGTGACCTACAGACAGAGGTGAAGAGGTGAGTGTCATATATAGTTACATAGTTACATAGTATTTGGGGTTGAATAAAGAGATACGTACATCAAGTCCAACCCATATAGGTCCACGCATCATCTCATTCTTAGGGATACTGGTATCCCCGGATATTACGGTCCCTCAAGAAATTGTCCAAACGTTTCTTGAACAAATCTACACTCTTGTGGACTCTTGTGTACACTCATGGACCGAATGCAATATAATTGCATTCAATCATCAATAATAACACAATGATTCCATAAGAGCAGCCAGACAGAACACAGCCGATACAAAGAAGTCAAACACATGCTACAGGTGAGCCGATCGGCCTGCTGGGGACAGGATACGTGTGTAGCCGGTCCCGTCACATATTTTCTGGTCCTCCAGGCCAGTGGTGGTCAACTTACTTGATCTAGGTGGCCCCTGACATCCCCAAAGGTCCGAACATAATATTCAGTTATTATAATGCTACAGAAAGCTGTCTGAATCTGCAGACAGGAAATGGTCAGAGCCTACAGGCATACCACACGAGATGGCCAAAGGTTAAAAGCATTCTACAGGAGATGGTCAAAGGTCAAAAGTATAGTACAGGAGATGGTCAAAGGTCAAAAGTATAGTACAGGAGATGGTCAAAGGTTAAAAGCATACTACAGGAGATGGCCAAAGGTTAAAAGCATACTACAGGAGATTGTCAAAGCCTATAGGCATACTACAGGAGATGGTTAGAGTCTATAGGCATCCTGCAAGAGATGTGCAGAGCCTACAGGCATGCTACAGGAGATGGTCACAGCCTACAGGCATGCTACAGGAGATGGTCACAGCCCACAGGCATGCTACAGGAGATGGTCACAGCCTACAGGCATGCTACAGGAGATGGTCACAGCCCACAGGCATGCTACAGGAGATGGTCACAGCCTACAGGCATGCTACAGGAGATGGTCACAGCCCACAGGCATGCTACAGGAGATGGTCACAGCCTACAGGCATGCTACAGGAGATGATCACAGCCTACAGGCATGCTTCAGGACATGGTCAAAGCCTACAGGCATGCTTCAGGACATGGTCAAAGCCTACAGGCATCCTGCAAGAGATGTGCAGAGCCTACAATCGTGCTTCAGGAGATAGTTAAAGCCTCCAGGCATGCTACAGGAGATGGTCAGAGCCTACAAATTTGCTACAGGAGATAGTCAAAGCCTATAGGCATGCTACAGGAAATGGTCACAGCCTACAGCCATACTACAGGAGGTGGTCAGAGCCTACGGGTATACTATAGGGGATGGTCAGAGCCTACATGCATTGTAAAGAAGATGGTAAGAGCCTGCAAACATCCTACAGGAGATGGCAGAAACATACACGCATACTACAGGAGATAGTCAGAGGAGCTACGAGAGGGCATGATGCTGACCAGCTTGGCAGCACAATGAAGCCAAGTAGAAGAGAATGGTCATGCGGCTTACACACAAGAACCTAACAGATGAGATGACCTGTACAACCATTGCTCATCAACGACTGTGCCATTCATATAAAAACCCCATGCCCGTGGTGTGTTATATCAGAAACCACAATTACTGTATATCCATTAGCTGTTTGTTATAACTGGAGTTTAGCTTGAAAAGAAATATGGATTTCCCTGAAATCTGACGTATCCAGGGCCGGATTTACTCGCTCTGCTGCCCCAATGCCAGGTTCCTCAATGTGTCCTCCTGTATGCAGGCCGCATACAAGTGATCTCGGCGACATCACCGCGATCACTTGTGCAAAACAAGGGGCGGCTTCCCCGCTGTACATTTAGCTCTGCTTGCTCAAAGCCGGGTTAAATGTAGAAAACAACTACCCGCTGCATGTCCCGGGCCTCGGGAGATAGGAATTCCACACCCCTGCGGCCCCTCTACTCCCTGCTGCCCCGAGGCTGGGCCTCGGTTGGCCTTGTGGGAAATCCGGCCCAGGACGTATCTCCTATAAGAAAGTCACCAACCTCTGCTGAAAATTAAAGTTTAGAATTTTTAGTTGGAAAAGAAAGTTACATGTTACATGTAAATGTAAAGATTAGAAAGTAGAGTGATCGTCGTGTGTGGAGATCCCTAGAAATGGCAGCAGGTTCTAAGGATCTGACCTCGTGAACCCAGAGGCTTTCATACGTCAGTCCTAGACAGCTGCCATGTAGGATCCTCCCAAATATAACATTTTAATATTAAAGGAGAACTATGGGGTCAGGGCTTTTCCCCGTAGTTCTCCTTAGGGTAATGGGAGGACACAAACTAGCGTCCTCCCATCACCCTAGGCTCAGTATACAGTGAGCTGCTGCTCGCGGTATACTGAGACGCCGCAGCTGAAGCGGATCCCGACAATTGTGCTGGGATCCGCCCAGCTGCGTGACTGACAGCTGGCTCTGCCTATCTAGAGGCAGAGCCAGCTGTACCCGCCCCCTCCCCCGTCCGTTCCGCCAGTAAGCGCTAGAGGATCGGAGCGGGGAGGATGGGAATCCCTGCAGGGAGCCGTGAGTGACCGTCACCACTCTCTGCAGGGATAGATTGAGCAGTGAGCGAGCGACGGTATGTGTTCCCTCAGTTCCAGAGCTATTGAGCCGACCTGTGACAGTTTCATTGTCACACGTCGGCTCGAACTACGAGGATGAGTGATTTTCCCTCACCTCATAGTTCTCCTTTAAGCCGGCTGGTCTATAATTCGCAGGTACGCTTCTCAAACCTTTTCCAAATATTGATACAACGAAAGCCCCCAATATTGTCATTTATTGATTAATGAAACATGTATTGTCTTTATTAGGGGGCGGTTCGGCACGGTGAAGTTGTGCACGGAGAAGTCAACTGGACGGCTCCTCGCTGTGAAGATCGTCCCGTACACGGAGGAGACGAAGGAGTCCACACTGCTGGAATATCACATCCTGAAGAAGCTCCATCACACCAATGTGGTGCAGCTGCACGCGGCATTTCTAAGTCCACAGGACCTGGCGCTGATCCTGGAGCTCTGCGAGGGCCGCGAACTCCTGCGCTGTCTGTCCACAGGGTAGGGACTTCCTCAATGTCTTGTGAAGCGTGGGGTGAATCAGTTCTCGATGGGGGTCTTAGAATCTGCTATTGTAAGCCTTAGAGGAGAACTATGAGGGGGGGCTTTTCACTCACCTCATAGTTCTAGCCGACCTGTGACAATGAGACTGTCACAGGTCGGCTCAGTAGATCGGGAGGTGAGCGAACACATACCGGCGTTCGGTCACCTCTCGATCCTGTGACGGCTCTATGCCGTGACAGGGGAGGGGCTGGATTCCCCCCTCCCCGCTCCGATCCTCCAGCGCTGACTGGCGGATCGGACGGGGG